AACACTCAGAGCAGCTGGGGAATGGCATGCCAGCCAGGGAAAAGTGACCCAAGTGGTGACACCACAGTACCTACTACAGTGGGCTTCTTCCTACTCATGTCTTAAGCATCTACCATGGTCCCTGATACATCACATGTACAAATAATTATCTGTGTAACTGAATATATGAATACACAGAAATGCTTAGTGTCTTTGGACCTGTGTCCCTTTCTGGGAACCCAGCTCAGCAGGGACCATATCATCCCATCAACCCTGGGAATGGCCAAAAGCCCCAGGACAGTTCTCCACATCCTGAGTGGCAGCACCTTCTAAGTATGTGTGACCTATCCAGACTTTTCATTGCAAAATTAGAATGAAATTATATTTGCCATTCATGAGTAGAGAATATTAATATTAAAGTATAAGATGCATATTTTTAAAAGAACCTTAGCTTGAGGTTCAGTGAACTCTTTGCTAGAAGCACATTTTCCTGGTTTGCTGCATCCTGGCTGGGTACGTTTGTCATACATAGAGCCATGAATGCAGGACTGCCATTTGCAGCATGAATTGTAATCCAAATATCAGCTGTTTTTTTTTTTTTTACAAATCAGACGTTGGGTTTCAGTTCAGACATCCACCTACAACTTTTGAACAAGGCCATGTTGTCATGGTGGCAGAGTTGTTCCCCTCACCTTTCTCAAATATATGGAGGAAGAAGCGAGCCATTGAGGCCCTCCTGTTTCCATGGATTATCATCCTTCCAAAATTCCTAACTTAGAAAAGTCTGGAGAAATAGCAAAGAAACCTCCCGGCTTGTTCTACCTTCCATGTGCCAAGCCTAGCTTAAGCACCATGCTATCTTCATGAAAGAAAGCTTAGTGCAAAGAGGGACTTTTGCATGCCTGAACCTTATCTTTAGTTTTTTTTTTAATATCACAAAGCTGGTTATTTTTGCCTTGTCAAGGTTCTGCCTTATTCTGGAACCTTCTTGATTCCTGTGTTCCAGGTCCCTCCCGAGATTTTACTTATCTGAATGTTCCACAGATGGACCTATTTAAAATTTATCATGGAATAGTAGAAGGGGTGGGGAGGTCTTGAGTTTCTTTCTAAGGAGATTGATGGTCAGATTCAGTCTGACATAACACCATGCAGTTGTCTATTACCAGTTGTAGAGCCAGAAAACCCAGGGCTTTGTATACACTATCAGGAAGGCACATTTGTAAATAGAAAAACATTTCTAGACACAATTCACATCTGCTTCCCCATCCTTCCCTACTCCCACCCCATTGTTGTTGCTTGTGTTTTTAGAGATGCTTAAGAGAAAAAAGGCAATACCAAAGACACTCTACTCCTTTTTCTGCATTCAGAATCCTCATTTATGTTGAAAAGACAGTTGATTTATCATTTCCCTCGATATTTCCTCGAGGAGACTGGCTCATCTCCCCAGGGAAGGAAGGGAGCAGGAGAGCAAATACTCCTCTGTCTACCTGATGATAGAGGAGGACTAGCCAACTGAAAGGCAGCGTGCCTGAGTCTGTCACTCCCCCTCTCTTGCCTGTCTGGTGCGATGTCTCACTGTACACCTGTGGTCCCTGCAGGAGGCTGCATGGGGGCCAGAAATATGCCTTTCAAGCAATAGATTTGCAGGTAGAAGGCAAGAAAGGGCCTCAGGTCCAAGCTGCATTCTTTAGCACCATTCAAGGGAAGCCCTGCATTTGGGCAGTTACTGGGCCCTCACTCAGCTGTTAATAAAGCTGACGTTTGGTTCACAGACCTTGGGGTATGACTCCATTTGGGTGAACCTCCAAGAAAAGTGGGGCAAGGGCTTGTATTCCTCAAACTCCTGATAGTGAATGACTCCTTGATAGCTTTACTTGGATGTTTCCTAGGCACTTCAAACTCAGTCTGCCTAAAAGCGAGCTCCCCCTCACTTCTGCTTCTCTTATGCTTCCTGTCTCAGAGATAGGCCTCAGTATTGTTGGTAGCCTTGATAGCCAGGCTGAAATTCTGGGAGTCGTAGCATGGGAGGCCCTTCATGAACTTACTTTTGAGCCTCCTTTCTCACCAACCCCACACATTGCCTCTTTGATTAGGTGCATCCTACCTATCACTCAGACCTCAAAGGAGACATCACCTGCTCCCAAGGCTTTGCCAACCCACAAGGCTGGGTGTTTCTGCAGTCCCCATGCTTGCTCACCCCAGTCCACTGAAGCATGTTTGCCTGGTCATTCCCCTGCCATTCCCACTAGACTCTAAGCTCCTCATAAGCAGAGTCTGTGCCTTGTTCATCCTTGAGTACCAATGCTAGCACAGGACCTACCTGTAGTAGCTGTTCAGTAAATATGTCTTGAATGAGTAACACTCAGACCTAAGAGTACTGGAGGCTGTATAGCATAGGGGTTATAAACCGAGCTTTGGAAATCGAGGCCTGGGTTCAGATCCTGATGTTTGCGTGTTCTTGGGTGAATTCCTTAACTTCTTGATCTTCAAATTTTTCACCAATAAGATAGGGGCAATAACTACTTCCTAGGGCTGTGATGATGAATTGAGATAATACATAAAAAGCTCTTAAGCAATGTATGACACATAGTAGGTGTTGAATGTGTTATAGTGTCTATTATTAGTAGCAATATCCTCAGTGGAAGAGGAAAGGCTATAAGAAGTAGTTGGAACTAGAAATCAGGCATGTTGAGTGCTTACATAAAGGGTTTAGATGAGGTGGGGAGTTACTTGGGATAAAACATCGGAGAGATGGGATGACTCTGGGGAAGAATGAACAGGGAGGGAAAAATAGGCAGAGAAACTGAAGACAGAACCTAGAAAAATCCTACATTTGAGGAATAAGAGGAGTCAACACAGGAAAGATAATGATTACAGTTAGGAGACTGCAGCTTCTCAGATGCCAGGGACAGGAGTTTAAAAGAAGGTAGTCAAGGGCGCCATGCTAGGCAGAAGGTCATTGAGGAGAAGACTAGAAGGGACAGCCAGAATCTGCTAAATCTTCATGTTAGTGTCTTTGGGAACCAGCCATTTTAGTAGAGTCAGAGGAATAAGCCACACTCTGCAAGAGGTTAGGCAAGGCAGGTTAGGGACCAAGTGGGCACACTCAGGCACTTTGTTTTGCTACAGTGTGTGTCTCTGTAATGTGGATTATGTGTGAGTCAGTAGGGTATGATGTCAGTATGATGACTGATATCAGTATGATGTGGAAGTCACAGTTAAAGATAGAAGCCTGGAGGAAATAGGGAGCTGCATGTGCCACCCAGTCATCCTGTGTTCTTCCACTTGGTTCTTTGGTGCCTGTGCTGTCTTGAAGTGCTCTGGGGGCATCTTCATGCATTTAGTCATTGATTCCATACCACTCAGCACCCTCAACCCTTCTGATTATGCCTTCGACCTCACTTCCCCTTCCTTTTTTAAGGTAAAGAGCTATATTTACTGGAGTGTTTCTTCTTTTTCAAACAGTGTCCAGCTTTATTAAAGATACTTTCCATAAGCAATATGGTATTTCAGACAGGACATGGGCAGACAATCATTAACACTACACAACAACTTTCAAACTCCCTCCTTCAATGGACTACCAAGATCAGAAAGCCACTAGAAAACGCAGTGAAATCTTCTTCTGATGCTCTGAACAGGGAAAGTTTAGATTTCACATTTAGTATGTTTAACAACTTTTCACAAGCCAATCTTGGCTTTCTGGAAATGAAATGAAAACAGCAGAATTTATCTGAAGATACACAAGCTAACAACAGAACAGTGCTCTTTTGAGAGTTCCCACTGGGAAGTTCAGATTGCCTGCCTGAATGGTAAACAGTTATTGGGGGTCAGGTCCCAACATGTGTCTGGGCATAAGGGAGTTAAGTCTGCTGAAGGCGGAAAGGGACATAAAAATGAATTTTAGTTCTTCCACACCACAAGGTGTTTGTGCCAAGGTGGCCATGCATGTCAATATCAGGGAATTCCTTTTCCTGGGAGCCAAGAGGAAGTCTGTCAGTACTGGAAGGGAGAGGAATTTTCCCCACATCAATCCCCAGCTTCAGAGACATTCTACTAGTGGCATATGCTCCTTTCCCAAAAAGCAGCAATGAAGTGTTCTGTGTGCTAACAGTATAGTTTAAAAGAAAAATAACTCTGCATCTTTTTAAAACTTGATAGAAATAGTATTTAAAAGTAAATAGTCACCAGAAGTACACAGTCATCGAAAACGCACACACGTCGCTTGGCATCTCCAGGACCTTCTGCTTTCTGTGCCTGTTTTGGCATCTGCATTTGCTGCAGGATTCTTCCCCTCCTTGCCAGCATCAGCTTTTCCCTTTTTCCCTTGGGTACGTTCTCTCCCCTCTTTGCAGGGGCCTTTTTAGGCTTGGACTCTGGTTTTGGAGGAGTAGGCTTAGCAGACAACCTTGCAGATCTTCTCTGTGGTTTGTCCTTACCTTGGCTTTATCTCTTTAGCATCCTCTTCAGCCTTTCTCTTGAGCATGGTGGCAACAGTGGTGGGATATAGTGCTGGGCTCCAGGATATAGCAGCATGTGGGCCTTGGTCAGTCCAGGGCTGCTCTCACCTCTTCTTCCTCACACTGCTCTTAGAGTATTGCTTTATTAGGAATTTAACATTTTAAAAAATGGCAGTGTTTTTAATGATGATAATTGTTTTCCCAGTGCTTTAGTTAAACTCTTATGTTCTTTTCTAACCTTGTTTTTCTGATAAGTCCTGTTATTTTTAGAATTTGATCTTGGGAAACATGAGTTTTTTTTTTTTAGCAATATATACGTCAAATTACAGAAGAAATTCCCATGATTCCTTTCCCTAAAGTTGAACAATCCTGGAAGGAGGGGTGATAGGGAATGTCCGCATCTACGGAAGGGTTCTTCCCAGGATCAGCAGACCTAACCATGCATGGCTGCAGCTTCATCTAAATCAGTTTTCCCTTGGTGACTATCTTCCTAAGTGCTCTTCATTATATATTTACACGGTTGTGTTTTTGTACTTCTCTCCTCTCCCTTGTCTCTTGCTACAGTCTGAACAAGCATCTGAAGCTGAGGTACTTCCACAGCTGAGCAGAGCCCCTTCCCAGGCTGCAGAAGGTAGTCCAGCAAAGAAGGTAAGGTTAGCATAAGGATGCTGTTATGGTGGCATGTGAGTCCCACCCCTGGGCTTTTTGCCTCTATTAGCAGATCTATCGTTGGAAAGTTTCCATGTCCTGAAATGAATGTTAATGATTCAGATTTCTTAGAATATGTGTTATTTGTGAAGATTAGGATCTTGAAAATTCCTGGGCTTGACCCTTGATGTCACAGAGTTTGTACTCTCTTCCTCAACCTCCCAGCTAAACACAGCAGCCTTACTTTTGGCAAGATCAAAAAGTACCATGGGTGGGACAGATGCCTTTAGTGAAACCTCACACACATACACCTCTGAGAGCAGCTTTTGGGGTGGGGTAGCATCTCCTTCTTGATCTTGGTACCATGGTCTCTTCCTGCATCCTGTCACCTTCGCCTCTGCCCAGCCTTGCCATTGAGTCATTTATCACTTGCTCGTTAAGCACCACTCAGCCATGGTGCTCTCCATTCATCTTCTTATCCTTCCCCATTCTCTCCTAGGCTCCTATCCCATTAGAGAGAGTGGGTCTTGGGCTCAGGAGCACAGGTGAGGCCATGTCCTCCAAGGAAGCAGGCCCTCTGTCTCCTCTCAGAACACACTGTGACTCTTTGCTTGACTTCATGTAGGAATCAGGGGTAGGAGACTAATGAGCATATGACTTTACAGCCTTCAAAACTTATATTCCTAAAAGCTCCAAAGTGAGGCAGAAGCCGATTTTATCTTTAGTTAGAAAAGGTTCTATGGTGTGAGATGCACACAGGGTCCACATGAATTTCAAGTGACAAGAAGAAGAAGTAGCAGACTGCTTGAAAAACATTACAAAAAGAAAGAAAAATGGGAAGACCACTGAAATCTGATTCCTGTGTTCTTCCCAATGACAGAACGAAGTAATAGGCTGTAAGCATTAAAAAAGAAAGGAAGCCAACATCACATTGATACCCAAGCCAGGTAAAGATCCAACAAAGAAAGAGAACTACAGGCCAATATCTTTGATGAACATAGATGCTAAAATTCTCAACAAGATCCTAGCAAACCGGATTCGGCAATACATCTCAAAAATCATCCACCATGACCAAGTAGGCTTCATTCCTGGCATGCAAGGCTGGTTCAACATTTGTAAAACCATAAATGTAATTAAATACATCAACAGATGTCAAAACAAAAACCACATGATCATATCATTAGATGCAGAAAAAGCCTTTGATAAAATCCAGCAACCCTTCTTGATAAAAACCCTTGAACATCTAGGCATATGGGAAACATACCTCAAAGTAGTAAAAGCCATCTACAGCCAGCATACTCCTAAATGAACAAAAATTGGAACCAATTCCCTGAAAACTGGAACTAGACAAGGATGCCCACTCTCTCCCCTCCTGTTCAACATAGTATTGGAAGTCCTGGCTACAGCAATCAGAGAAGAGGAGGCAATCAGAGTTATTCAAATAGGAAAAGAGGAAGTCAAGTTATCTCTCTATGCAGATGATATGATGGTGTACCTTGAAAACCCAAGAGAATCTGTCAAAGGCTGCCTTACATTGATAAAAGCCTTTGGCAAAGTCTCAGGATACAAAATAAATGTACAAAAGACAATCGCATTTCTCTACACCAAAAATAAACAAACAGAAACCCAAATAAAAAACACAATTCCATTCACAATAGCCACAAAAAAAATGAAATACCTTGGCATCTTCCTAACCAGAGACGTGAAAGACCTTTACAATGAAAATTACAAAACACTGCTTAAAGAAATCAAAGCTGACATGAACAAGTGGAAAAATATCCCATGCTCATGGATTGAAGATCAACATTGTGAAGATGTCCATCTTACCTAAGGCAATCTACAAATTCAATGCGATACCCATTAAATTACCAACAACATTCTTCTCAGACCTAGAAAAAACAACACAGGAATTCATATGGAAACACAAACGTCCAAGAATAGCCAGAACAATCCTCAGCAAAAAAAACAAAGCAGGTGGTATCACAATACCAGACTTCAAACTTTACTATAAAGCTACAATCATCAAAACAGCTTGGTATTGGTACAGGAACAGGATATAGATCAATGGAACAGAATTGAAATTCCAGAAGCAAAACCTCAATTTCTCAACCAACTCATCTTCAACAAAGCCCCCACCACCTACCAATGGGGAGAGGAGAACCTATTCAGTAAATGGTGCTGGGAAAATTGGCTGACCACATGCAGAAGATTGAAACAGGACCCCTATCTATCCTCATGCACAAAGGTTAACTCCAAATGGATCAGAGACCTAAATGTAAAACCTCAAACCATAAGAACCTTAGAAAAGGAAGGGAAATACTCTCATGGAAATCGGAACTGGCATCCAATTCCTGTACAAAACCCGAAACCCACAGGACTTAAGAGAGAAGATAGTCAAATGGGACCTTATTAAACTGACAAGCTTCTGCAAAGCCAAAGAAACCATCAAGAGAGCAGGGAGACAGCCTACAGACTGGGAAAAAGTCTTTGCCAACTCTAGGTCTGACAAAGGCTTAACATCCTGGATCTACAAGGAACTGAAGCGTACTGAAAAGAAGAAAACAAACAACCCCATTATAAAATGGGCAAAAGATATGAACAGACACTTCACAAAAGAAGACATTCGAGCAGCCAGCAAACACATGAAGAAATGCTCAACCTCACTAATCATCAGGGAGATGCAAATCAAAACCACACTGAGATACCACCTAACTCCAGTCAGAATGGCAATTATCACAACTCAAAAATACCAGCTGCTGGAGAGGGTGTGGTGAAAGGGAACACTTCTACACAATTGGTGGGAGTGTAAACTAGTGCAACCTCTGTGAAAAGCAGTGTGGCGATTCCTAAAAGCTCTAAAAATTGACCTTCCATATGACCCTGCAATCCCCCTACTGGGAATATACCCTGAAGAACACAAATCACTCTGTAAAAAAGATACCTGCACACATATGTTTATCGCAGCGTTGTTCACAATAGCAAGAACCTGGAAACAACCATGCTGCCCATCAAAAGAGGACTGGATTAAAAAAATGTGGTACATATACACAATGGAATACTACGCAGCCATAAAAAAGAACAAAATCATGAATTTCGTAGCATCCTGGATGGAACTATAGTCTATAATACTGAGTGACCTCTCTTAAAACAAAGATCTAATTATCACATGTTCTCACTCATATTATGGACCTTAAACATCCAATGCAATACTATACAAAAATGACTGACCATACTGGGAAACTATGGTGGGGGGAGGGAGATGGGATTAACAGTAGCAAATATCTGTCTGGGAACAGGGAATCACCCCATATCAACAGGGTGCCTGAATGAAACGCAATTGTATAGCTAACCCTAAACTGTACTCCACAACTTCATAATTAAAAAAAAAAAAAAGAAAAAAGAAATAAATGTGCAAACCCATGCGACCAACATGATAG